CATTTGATACAGTCCCTTCTATCTCCCAGTGGAAGATTATTTCTTTTCTTACTTTACAAAAGAAAATAGAGGTTTCAAATTAGAATTTCCTTATCTCACAGCTATCAAAAAGAAGAAAATTCTCATCTACTCTAAACGCAGTCTTCTTCCTTTCTGGTAAAATACAGGAAATCTTACTTTTCTTATTTTAACTTATTTAAGTACCCAAAAATATACAATGGGACAAAAAGAGCCTCTTCAGTAAATGGTGGCAGGAAAACTGGACAGCCACATACAAAAAAAAAAAAAACTGGCTCACTTTCTTACATTGTACACAAAAATAAAATGAACTAACGACCTAAATGTGAGACCGGAAAACATAAAACTCCTGGAAGGAAACATAGAATAAACTCTTGGACACTGACCACAGCAATATTTTTCTGTATTTGCTTCCCCAGGCAAGGGAAACAAAATGAAAAATAAACTATTGGAACTACATCAAACCAAAAGCTTTTACACAGAGAAGGAAGCCATTGACAAAACCAAAAGGCAACCTACTGAATGGAAGAAGATATTTGTAAATGATATATATGATAAAGAATATCCAAAATATATAAGAATCATACAACTCAACACCAATAAAATAAATAATGCAATTTAAAAATGGGCAGAAAAAAATTAAAAAATAAAAATGGGCAGAAGAAGGCAGCCCGGGTGGCTCAGTGGTTTAGCACCGCCTTCAGTCCAGGGCGTGATCCCGGAGACCCGGATCGAGTCCCATGTCGGGCTCCCTGCATGGAGCCTGCTTCTCCCTCTGCCTGTGTCTCTGCCTCTCTCTCTCTCTCTCTCTGTCTGTGTCTCTATGAATAAATAAATAAAATCTGTTTTAAAGAATGGGCAGAAGACCTGAATTGACATTTTCCAAAGAAAACAAACAAATGGCCAACAGACACATGAAAAGATGCTCAATGTCACTAATCATTGGGGAAATGCAAATCAAAACAACAATGACATATCACCTCACACCTGTCAGAATGGCTAGTATCAAAAAGACAGAAATAAATGTGTTGGTGAGGATGTGGAGAATAGGGAACCCTTGTGTGTTGGTGGCAAGGATGCAAATTCATGCAGCCAGTCTGTAAAACAGTATGGAGATTTCTCAAGAAATGAAAAAAAGAAATACCATATGATCCAGTAATTTGGCTTCTGAAAGCCAAATTTGCCATTTGAAATAACACAGATGGACATAGAGAGTATTATGGTAAGGATGATAAGTCCCAAAAGAAAGACAAATATTATATGATATCCCTTATATGTGGAACCTAAAAAACAAAATAAATGAACAAACAAAAACCAGAAACAGACTCATAAATACAGAAAACAAAACAGGTGGTTGTCAGAGATGAGGAGGGTGGGGCTAAGCAAAATCACTAAAGAGAATTAAGAGCTACAAACTTTCAATTATAAATTAAGTCATACGGAGAAAAGTACAGCATGGGAAATATAATCAATAACATTGTAATAATTTTGTACAGTAATGGGGGTAACTACGCTTACCTTGGTGAGCATTTCATAATGTATATAATTGTCAAATCACTAGGTTGTACACCCGAAACTAATATAATGTTATATGTAAACTATATTTCAATTACTAGGAAAAAAAAAAGAACTTCCCACCATCAATTATCTCTACTCTGTCTTTAATATTTAACCCCTCCTCTCATCTGTATTCTTCCTGCTTGAAAATCATTTAAAAACAACAATAAAATCTTCCTCAGTTTCACATGCCTGACATTCTACCTTCCTATCCTTCTCCTCTTTACACACAAACTATTCAGAAGGGTTATTTTGCTCACAGTCTTCATTCCTTTCTCCTTATTTACTCCTCAACCCATCTGGCTTCCAGCCCTAACATGCTATTTAAAATAAGTCTCTGTGGTATCATAGGGGAAGGGAGGGAAAAATAAAACAAGACAAAATCAGAAAGGGAGACAAACCAACCATGAGACTCTTAACTATAGGAAATAAACTGAGGGTTGCTGGAGGGGAGGTGGATGCTGGGAGAAGATGGGGTAACTGAGTGATGGGCATTAAGGAGGGCACTTGATGTAATGAGCAGTGGGTATTATATGCGACTGACGAACTCTACCTCTGAAACTAGTAATACACTATATGTTAATTGAATTTAAATACAATAAATAAAATAGGTCTCTGTGGTCATTAATAAGGCTCAAGTTAATGGGCACATCTTGATCTTCATCTTACATTACTCTTAACATCTCCAGACACGGGTAAGCACCCCCACTCTTGAGACTTCCACGCTACCTTCTCCTGGTTTGCCTCCTACTCCATTAGAGCTCTTCCTCTGTCTCCTTTGCAAGCTGAAGCTTCCTCTACTTTGATGGTGACGTTCTTTAAGGCTTAGCCTTGGGTCATTCTCTCATCCCACTCACTTCTCTCTAAACCATCTCAATAGCCACCTATAGGTGGATTACCCAAACTGTATTTCTAACTCTAAACCATCTTCTGAGCATCAGACCCTTATATATCTCTCTACATGAGGTCTCCACTTGCATGTCTCAGAGGCTAGCTCAGAAATCTTCCTGCACCCATTCTTCTCCTCGTCTGATCAATTCCCCAATTATAGCCAGAGTGATTTTCCTAAAATACAAATCCTGCCAGCTTAAAATATTCTTTAACACAATCTCATTGTTTTTAGGATGAGAAAACAATCTTCAACATGGTTTTCATGGTTTTACACGGTTTGTCCCTACTGACCTTTCTCTGTCTAGCCTTGCCTCACGCTAGAGCTCTCAGGACTTCCAGCCACACTGGTTCACAGTCAATTCCTAATCCCTTCTGCCACTCTGCCACTCTGCCACTCTGCCACTCTGCTACTCCCCCACTCCTGCAACAGCCCATTAGCAAACATTGTTGGTTCTGCTCTGAAATTGTGTCTTGAACCAAACTCTTCCCATCATCCCCACTATTAGAATACTAACTAAAGCCACCACCATCTTTCGCCTGAATGGCTATTGCTACAGCCTACTGAGTAATCTCTCATTGCCCTTTGTCTTGCCCTTGCCCCATTTGATCTATTTCCAATCACCAACCAGCATGATGCCATACAGCATAAATCAAACCATGTACTTCCTAAAAACTTTCCAATAGCTCTTCACTGCAATCAGAATAAAACCCAAAGTCCTCAAGGCTGACCCCAAAGCCCTGCCTGATCTGGTCCATCTACCTCTCTGTCCCCATCCTCTACCACTGCCTTATTTTTTTGCTATATGCTAGTCACACTGGCCTTCTTTCTAGCCTTGTATGGTCCTATCTCAAGGCTTTTCTTGCTCTTCCTTCCCTTGAAATGTTTTCCCAAATCTCTGAAGGGCTGCCCCTTTTCATTACTTTTCAAAGGGGCATTGCCTGCCCATTCTTCCTCTCTTATGAAAGTCACTCTATTGCTTGCCCTGGCTTTCTATACTGTACTATTACTTTCTAGAACTTTTTAATGGCTTCCTATCTCACAGTGAAGTCCCTACCACAACCAGAAAGGCCACACATGATCTGTCCACAATTTCCTCTTTGATCTCACATACCACCTGTTTCCTCGTTCTCCTCTAGCCATATTAGCTACTTTGCTGTTCTCCCAGCATCCCAAGTACCCTCTTAACCCAGAGCCCTTGAACATTCGCACTCAAAAATCCACATTAATTAATTTCTCAAGTCATTTAGGTCTGGCTCAAGTGACACATACCAGAAAGATCTTCCTTGATGATCCTAATTAATAACAACAGCTCCATCCCCACTACCATCACTCTCACCTTTTAATTCCCTCCAAAATACTTATGTCACTCATGAGTTAAATATTAATTTGCAGAGACACATGGGTGGCTCAGTGGTTGAGCATCTGCCTTTGGCTCAGGGCATGATCCCCAAGTTACAGGATCAATTCCCACATTGGGCTTCTTGCACAGAGCCTGCTTCTCCCTCTGCCTATGTCTCTGCCTCTCTCTCTCTCTCTCTGTGTGTCTATCATGAATAAATAAAATCTTTAAAAAATATATTAATTTGCTGTCTCCCAACCAGAAAGTACTATCCAGGAGAGCGGGAATTGTTTTCTCCATAACTATTTCCATTGTCCCTAGATGAGTAGGTGTTTAATAGTTTTTCATTAAGGGATGCCTGGGTGGCTACGCAGTTGAGTGTCTGCCTTGGGACCAGGCCATGATCCTGCGACGAGTCCCCCACTGGGCTCCCTACCGGGAGCATGCTTCTTCCTCTGCCTATGTCTCTGCCTCTCTCTCTCTCTCTTTCTCTGTCTCTCATGAGTAAATAAAATACTTAATTTTTTTTTCATTAAATGATTGAACTATCTTAATTTACCTACTTTGAGCCTGGCATATGTCTTTGTCTTCTCCATCCCCTTCCCCACACATAAGCCCTAAAAGACACAGCTGTGTAGGGGAAGAGCAGCTGGATTCAACCACATTTACAAATCCCGTTTTTAACTTCTATATTTTCAGATCTCCCCTCATTCTCTCAGGAGGCCCCCCTCCCTCTGAGCAGCCTCCGGTTACTTCCAATCTATTGCTATTACAAATAGCAATGCGGCCAAGAATGGGCGTGGGTATACATGCAAAACTCGTATCACCCTAACACATTCTTAGAAGTGGGATTTCTGGATCAAAGGATGACTGCATATGTGAGTTTAATAGCTACTGCTGAGCTCGCCTCCGCGGGGATCATAGGATTTTCGGATTTCCACCAGCAGCAACGTGCGCGAGACAGCGCCTGTTTCTTCACGGCCTCGCCCGGCCAACTCCAACTCCGTGTCGTCAAGCTTCAGGGGGGTTTGCCAATCCGGCAGTTGAGAAACGGCCTGAACCGAGCGCGCCCTTCCCCACCGCATCCCTGACCTCGGACCCCAGCCCCCCGCCCCCGCGGACAGCCGCGCCGCGTCACCCCGCGCAGCGCATCCCCGCGGTCCGGCGAGCCGGGCAGCTGCGCGCACGCGCGGGGTCGGCGCTCGGCACGCGGGCGCCAAGGCCCCCGGGGGTGGGCTGCGCTCGGCGGAGATCCGGCTTTGCTCAACCCTCCCGAAAGAGGAAGCGCGGAAGGGCTTGAAGTAAGCGCTCAGGCCGACCGTTGCAACAGAGCTCGGGGTGTCGGGCTTCTGCGGAGCCGTCATGTGGCCCCACATCCCTCAGCCTCTGGTAGATGGGGTGACAAAGCAGGATCGCCGAGCGAGGGAGCGCTCCCGAGAGGAGGGGGCGCGCGGGGGAGGGTCAGACGGGAAGGCCCGACTTCTCCCAGAACTTAGAACACCAAAAACTTTTTTTCCCCCCTCTTTCAAGGGCGTGGCGTGGAGGGGGGGGGCAGGGGACATGAGGCTGGGAGCCGGGCAGCTGGGAAAGCAGCCCCCGAGGCGCAGGAGCCCCCCTCCACGCGTCCTCCCGCGGGGGCGCCTCACGCCGGCGCGCTGCGCGGGGAGGGCAGGGCCGGCCCCACTTCCTCCGGCGCGGCCGACCTGAGCCGGGCGCCGCCCAGTGTGCGCTTCGCCTGCCCCGCGGCTGCCGCGCCGTGCCCGCGCCCGCGCCCGCGCCCGCGCCCGCCCCAGCCGAGGCCCCGGGAGCCGTCAAGGTAAGCGGCCCGGCCGGGCCCCCGAGGGCCCGTGTGTCCCGCGGGTCTGCGTCCGACCCCGGGTCCGACCCAGCTCCCGGCCGCGGCCCGGAGCACTCGCGCCCCCCGCCCGGCCCTCGGGGGGACGCGCGGCCCCGGGATCCCCACTGCGCCCAAAGCCGCTTCGGAGGTGGATGGAGAAGGGGCTGAACCGTCGCCCGTCTGGCGGTCCAGGAGCCCCGACCGGCCCACTGTACAGCCAGGGCCAGTCGTGTGAGAATTTGAGATTGACGATCGCAGTCTGACGTGTCTTGGGGTGTTTGCTGAGTTCAAAACTTTTGGACAACCGTATCTTCTTTTTCTTAAAAAAAAAAAAGAAAAAAAAAGTCTTTACTAGTGATACTCCTTTTCGTTTTAAAATAAGATAGATAGAGGGATCCCTGGGTGGCGCAGCGGTTTGGCGCCTGCCTCTGGCCCAGGGCGCGATCCTGGAGACCCGGGATCGAATCCCACGTCGGGCTCCCGGTGCATGGAGCCTGCTTCTCCCTCTGCCTGTGTCTCTGCCTCTCTCTCTCTCTCTCTCTCTGTGACTATCATAAATAAAAATAAAAAAAAAATAAGATAGATAGAGGGGGACGACGCCTGGGTGGCTCCGTGGTTGAGCATCTGTCTGTCTGCCTTTGGCTCAGGTGGTGATCCCGGGGTCCTGGCATCGAGTCCCGTCCCGCATCGGGCTCCCTGCAGGGAGCCTGCTTCTCCCTCTGCCTGTGTCTGCCTCTCTCTCTGTGCCTTGAAGGAATGAATGAATGAATGAACCTTAAAAAAAAAAAATAAGATAGAAGAACGATTTGGACACCAGGAGTTAGTCTCATAATTTGGCTTGGAGTGAATGGCCAGAGTGCCATTTTGTAGCACGAAAGAAACTAACTAGGATGTCCTGATATCCAGGAGTCGCCCTGAACCCTTGACCCCCTGCACCTCTTATTTTTCTTCTGGGAAGGTATTTCTTGTACATACCCTTGTGGAACGCTAAAGGTGTGGTTTCCTAGAGGCATTCTAGATTCTCGGCCTCTGAACAGAAATTTCAGAAAAGAGAGCTTTTGTCCCTTGGAATAAACCACCACTGACAATTTTCCCTCTGGCCTCACTGAAATAGTCTTATAGTTAAGACTAGCTGACAAAATTCACAGAAAATGTGCTAAGAAATCTTCCATAACCTCTTCCGGGTACTATTTCCTGTCTGTTCAGTATGTTGTGAAAGGTCTAAGAAATATAATGTCATCTTTGGGTTATTAGTCCTTAATGATTTTCACAGTGATACTAATATTTGTGTTTTTTCTTGGTATTTGGGATATTTGGATCTGTTGAAAAACTGAGATGGGGCATTGATGTACCCAAGCTTGGGCAGATCAACATTAGATTTCAAAATTCTTCGATTATTATCTCTCAAGAAATATATCTTTATAATATGGATTATATTATGATTTAGTCACTTTAAATCTTAAACATGATACTCATTAGGCTATACAGTGTCCATTAATTTTTTATATTTTTATATCCTAGGAATGAATACCACATACCTAATTTTTTAATGTTTATTAACTTATAGTAAAAAAGTTATAGATATTTTCATATTATTATTAAAATGAATCACTTGTAAAATTTATTGCCATAAATGTCTATGTTTGATAATGCCGCTCTGAATTTCTTTAAACCATACTACTTTCTTTTCTTTCTTTCTTTTTTTTTTTTTTTTTTTGAGAGAGAGAGACAGAAATAGTGAGAGAGAGCAGGAGCAGGGAGGAGAGGGAGAAGCACATTCCCTGCTGAGCAGGGAGCCTGACATGGGGCTTGATCCCAGAACCCTGGGATCAGGACCTGAGCCAAAGGCAGACGCTTAGCTGACTGAGCCACCAAGGCAGCCATAAGCCATACTACTTTCAAAAGCATTGTTATTTTTATTTACTTTTAATTAAAATCTTGTTTTAATTATTTTTATATCCAAAACCTTGTAGTGAGTCCACAGATCTTATAATAAATTAAGTTGGCATATCATAGCTTGCCACACCAAAATATTTTCCATTTTAAAGACCTCATGAGTTTATCTTATAGACCATAGAATGATCTTAGTAATTCTCACCTCAAAATAGAACAATTCTTATTAACATATTTTTAGTATGTAAATATGTCTATATGTCTTTTAAAGATTTTATTTATTTATTCATGAGAGACACACAGAGAGAGGCAGAGACATAGGCAGAGGGAGAAGCAGGCTCCCTGCAGGGAGCCCCATGTGGGAGTCCATCCCAGGACCCCAGGATCATGACCTGAGCTGAAGGGAGACACTCAACCACTGAGCCACCCAGGTGTCTCAATATGTCTATGTTTTATGTCAGTTCTGTCATTCTATGTGACAAGTAGCTTAAAGTTTAAGCAATTATTATAAATTTAAGTAATTCATTATAAATTCAATAAATGCCAGGATTTGAGGTATTAGATTGGTACACTGCTTGTGTAGTCATGTTTATCTGTATTATAGTTGTAATTGTCGTGAGAAACATGATTTGTAGAGGAAACTGCTATATATTTGGAAAAGTTAACAGATGTCTCTTAAGAAGCAACAATAGCAGCACTAAGGAATAGCATTGAATAAGCTATATTCTATGAAAGGGGCTAGATTATAGGTGCAGCATGACAAGGCGGGGCCTGTGGATAGGGACCAGAGATGTGACCTATCACCACCACGTCTCCATTATCTTGCCAAATTCCTGGCACCATAGTTGGGACTCAGAAAATATTTTCTAAGTGTCCAGATACTTAGAAGTATCTAAGTGGAAGTATCAGTTCCACTTCTGGGTTGTACCATCAAAATGTCACAAGCCCCTGACCCAGGCAGCCCTGTTGGTCCTAACCCTGAGGCATGAACAGGCAGAGATGTAGCCCCACTCCAAGGAACCACACCTTCTCAGCATGCACTCTGAAGCTTGAATTCATGACACAGTTTCCATACATTTCCTGAAGATTGACTAGGCACTTGATTGATGAAAAATCATATTGTAAGAACTATTCTCTCTCAACTCAGTTTCTTCTTCATCACCAAATGGTAATCGTAAATAATTATTCTGTTGACTTAGCTTAGATTTTGGACCAGACTCTTGTGCTAATTAATATAGATGTGTCATTGCATTAATTCTCACATCCTGGGCTTATGCCATGATTATTATCTTTGAAGAAATGAAAGCACAGAGAGGTTAAGAAGGTTACACAGAGAGTAAGAAGAGCTGACCTTTGAACTGAGCTAGTCTCATACCAACACCCTAGCAGCTAGCTGTACTGGGGACAGGGCTCAAATGGTGAAAAAACATGGAGCCTTTCTTCAGTGAACTTGTAGCCTGTTTGCGGCGAGGTGGTGGGGGGGTGGGTGGGGAAAGCGGACATAAATGGGCAGTGAACAGTTCTACACATGACCAGAATTGTGTGCTGTAGAAGTAAATATCAAATCCCTGTACTACAGTGGGGTCAGGGAAGGGAGGATGAAATAAAGGTAACCAAGGAACTTGCCTTGCTGTAGTGGGAAGATAAGGTATTATAATCAATTGTGAAGTTATTATCTTTATATATGTCTTTTGAAAAAATAATCTGCTTTGGCAACCATCACATGTTTTCATTTTTATCTTTATTCTCGTCCCTCTTGATAGCTTCTAGGTTGACTAACTCAATAAAGCCATGAGTATCATATTCTTTTTATTTCTGCTGGGGATCTTTTCTGATTTCATCTCACATCACAGACTCATCAGTGAGATGGTTGTGGGCTGGGAGAAGGTATAAATGCTAAATCAACAAAAGTTAGTTTCCACACATTGGCTAGAAGATTTATGTCCAGAGAGGTATATCAAACTAGAAGGAAAATAAAGAGTGGTAGTAGAACAAGTAAATACTAGGCTAGATTTATTTTTGTCCTTCCTTTTTTATTATGAAATGTTTCATATACAAAAGATGGTGTATAATGTATATGTAAATTATAATGAATAATGATAAAGCCAACATCTGGATACCTATACCCAAACTGAAGAAGTAAAATATTACCAATATATCTTCTGACTTCCTCCCAATAGCATTCCCTTTTTTCTCAACAGACGTCATCACTATTGCAAACGTGCTGATTTTTTTTTGAAAGCGTGTAGAAAGCCTGTACATGCATTTGCAAAGACGTCAAACTAAGAGAGTACACCGGCACTTGGGAAACAGATTAGAATCTCCACCAACTGTAGGCATGATTGTAAAGTGAAGTGTTCACTGTTAAGTGAAGACAACTTATTTTAAACAGCATAAAAGCAAAGTGGGCTATAAATGATTAAGAGTAAGTACCATGGAAATAGTTAGAGGTATCTTACTCATTACTGAAGTGACCAAGATTCACCAGTGGATAACCATAACTTTTAAGGGTAATAAAAAATATATAACTTAGGAACTGCTCATTTTTTTATGTTACTTAAATTTCTACTT